TTTCAAACAGAAAAACGAAGCAACAGCTCCAATTTCTTTCGACTTCAAAAACCTTTTTAATGGACAAAAGGATCAGGGTATGAATTACATTACATTTTTCTTTCTATTATTTTCTGATATTTAAAGCTAACTAATACATAAACTCAAAAACAACTTTAGTTTCTAAATTATCAAATGATTGGATGAATTTCTTAAGATTTATTCGATTTACTAAGATCTCGTTTCCTTTAATAAGTAAAAACTTTTTTTACCTTTGGTTTTTACGATATATTCAAATAAAACCGCATTTTCTGCCAGCATGTGTGTAATATATATGGTATCTTCCTTTATTTAACATTAAAATTTTTTGAAAAAAAAATAAAATGCTAATAATGCATGCTAATATTGGGCTTTATGGCGTTGTATATATTACGTAAAAATTTCAGCGGACAAAGTCCTCACATATGCTAACCAGAACTGGAAGCAGGTCTCCGAGCTCCTGCAGGAACCTATTTGGAACGAAAACATGAAGAAAATCATTTCTAACGGCAACAAATACTTAAAGACTGAACCCCTTGATCAAATGTTCATATCACCTTAGGTTGTTAAAGTAAAAATACTATACATTTGTAACATATATTAGTATGTAACAAATGAATATACATACATTAGTTGCACATATAACCCATGTTTTTTCTACATTAATGACAAAATATTCTTTGGCTATCAGTCGCTCTAATAGTAGGTTTGAGCATAAAGAGCCCAAATGAAAAAGACAGTAGTCTTAAACATATTATTTTTATTTTTATTTCAATAATAATCTATTAATTATATATCTTTCATTGGTACTTATTTATTACACACCTATAATATATAATTACGATTATATTATTAGAAGTAGCATATCTACCGAATGTATATAAATATAATAAGGGGTCATAATATATTCATGTACATTTAGTATGCAACACGGGGAAGGAGAACATCATGAGGAAATGAGCATGCCTCCAGTCGAATTTAAAAAAGGATTGAATTGTGAAATTTTGGAATAAATCGAATTTTTCACGAACTAGAGAATAATAGTGCGCACCAGCGCAGTACAGTTAAACATATATGTACAGTCTCACAGATATATAGCCTGAACAGTATTCTAGTAACTTATACAATAGTCTAAATTCTTGTCTAGATACAAGGAATGTACAATCTAACTTTATGCCACAAACTGGTGAGCAAATATCTCCAATAGTTAATACGAAACTTGGAATAGTTGGCACGTTTACTCAGTATTAACTTTAAAGTTAAATTTGTTTAAAAGCTATTTAAATATGTTAAGAAGATAATATTTGTAATAGATTACAAAATAAAGTGCTCAGGGGAATAGTCAATGCTCCCTGGTATATTTTCAATAACGACCTAAATCGGAACCTTAATCTAGAGGACGTCACCACAATAATAAAAAGGCTGCTGGAGCCCACGAACATCGGTTGCACCACCACGTGAATGTCGAGGCTTTTCCACTTCTTGACACTACGGGCCCAGTGAGAAAGAAAAAAAAACAATTTGAACTAGTGAATTAGTATTAGTGCACGTTAGTCTTAAGTGCTAAACAGTGGGAAGTGATAAAAAAGTTGAACACAAGACAGAGTGTCTTCCATTTATGTAATTAGTGTTATTGGATACTTTCTTATGTTAATATCCTTTATATTAATAGTAAATCAGGTTAGATTTAAGTTACTTATAAGTCTATTTTTATAAATTTCCCAATATCTCTGACTCTTGTGGTGTAATTTATATAAATTGTCATTGGAAATTGATCTCACGACCAATCATGCGGACTTTAACACAGTAAGTGTTATATTATACATATAAATGCGTCCTTTTTACGTATTTATTATGTAGTGTATAGTTTAAATTCAATAATTATTTACAGACAGCAAAAGATAGAAAATTCTAGAATTTCTTGGAGGAGGCTTTTACCTTTGGGATTTAGAGGCTACTTTAGAGGTTTGCTCTTGTTTAGCTATTGTACATAGTATTCAGATTGATGCCTCCCTTGTAAGTAAAATACCTGTGACAGGGATGCACCATAGAGTTTGCAGTTTAAAAAAACAAATAATTACATTATTTTTGCTTTTTATACAGAATTTTTACTATCATTGTTTGAATTATACAAGTTATAAATTATAAATTATAAGTTATTAATTATAACTTATAATTAATTAAATTAATATAATTCTGAATAAAATTTATTATGTTTGTTTAAGATATAAGACAAGACGCGCAAGAAATACTATGCCTTATTTTATAAGTTTTCTTCAGCAAACTAACGACTTAAAGTAGGTATGGGGTTATGATTTTAATATTAAAATTAGCGTTGTCCTTGTGGCTTCAGCGACTCGCATTCCTTAGGTAGCAGACTCGATCCGTGTCTGTACCCCAATTGACTTTGTGTCTAAGGAAATCATCGTGAGGGTCACCAGTATGCCTAAGACCCAAAAAGTTGATGTCGGGTGTAGGGCGAAGAAAGCTAATATACTTGAATTTTAGAAAAGGCAAATTATGACGAAACAGATACACAATTCACAAACCTGTGGCCCGGACCTAAAGGTTTGACACTTGTTTTTTTAATACAGTTCAGTAATACAGTTGACCTAACAATACACAAAACAGATAAAACACAGTAATGTAATCAGAATAATTTATATAAGTTTTTAATTTCCTTAACATTGATTTGCGATTAATAATTGTTATAGCTAAGAACTACGTATTTATATCAATATATTTGTTTATTAGCTGACGTGATTCACCAATTCGCGAACGAGAACTTGAAAGAAGTAGCTAATCTGGTGCAGGATCGATGACTTATTCAAAGCATGATGATCACATGATTAATAGGTCCCAGGTTATCTTAAGACCTCATCAATTTTTTTTTAATATGAGCAACGTATTACAGTTTTATTTGTTAAAAAATCAATGCAATTTAAAGTATTGTTTAATACTTTAAATTGCATTGATTTTTTTACGCTTTACGATTTCCGTAGCTTTCAAGCTTTAGGAGTCTTAAAGATACCCTGTATATATTTTTTTTGATTCAATTAATTTAAAATTGGTAAACATATTAAATACTTTTTAAATTGATATTATATTACATATTCCTTTTTTTTTTTTATACGAGGTGAAAATGCGCTTACGCAGGCCCGCATCAAGGATGTCGAGCTTGACGCGGGGACTGTGGGGCTGGGTCTACACTCAAAACCCTCTGCTATTCAGAGGGGTAGCGAGACCCCACCCACTAAAAAAAAAAAAAAACACCTCAGCCCTTCACACGCCCTTAATATGGGCCCTCGGGGTTTGCTAGGCATTCTACCCAAGGGACCCGGGCTTATATCCGACATAGAGGGCTCATTCAAGACCTGCGGTTCCGGGCCACTCGAGGTCGAGCCCCCAGCCTTGAACTACCGGTCAGTCTACGGTCATCCCCAGACCTTTCCCTGAATCGCTCAGCTGCCTCCTTCTGCAGCATTACATGCTCACAGAAGGTAACCATTGCACTCCAGGCCTCCTCACTTCCTAGCATAGCTAAAATAATACCCGGTAAAGAGAGGTCCGACCCTATGACCGATACCAGGTCATGACGCTCCCTTGTCCAGGTGACACACTCAGCGACAGTATGCTCCGCCGTGTCATTTGGAGCGCCGCAATGGTGGCACAACGGATGCACCTCCCTTCTAGGCACCTTATGCAGATACCTCCCAAAGCATCTATGGCCAGACAGTACCTGCGAAAGCCGAAACGTCACAGCACCCCAACGCCTATTCACCCAGTCATTTAAGACTGGGCGAATTGCCCCTATTGTCAATGCACCAGCGCGGGGCGTTGCTAGATCGTAGTGGTTTGACACCTTTCGAAAAGAATTTCTCTGGCATGACGCCTCATATGCCCCGCTATTTCCCCCCACGTGACGTTCCCGTTAACTATTACCTCGGCTTTCGCACGGTATAAGGCAGCGATAAGTTCCACCTCCCGCTCCCAAGGAGGATTACCAGCTAACACACAGGCCGCCTCGAACGATACGGTACGGTAGCAGCGAAAAAGAATGTTGAATTACTTAACCACTTGTAATTGCCATCCTCGGCCTAGAGCGTATTGCTACGTTCTAAACCTACACAGTCTCCTTTCTATAGTTGGGTGCCCACTGCACACTATATAAATTTGACCGTGCCCACCATGTACGGTTTAAGCACTCGCCTCGTTTTAATTTAAATTAAATTAAAACTTGCCCTCGAACCGGGAATCGAACCCGGTACCCCTCACCTAGCTGCCACATCCAAGACCGCTAGGCTATGAGGCCCTTAATATTACATATTCCTACCGTAGTTATGTCTGGGTTGGCATTCTCGGTGATAAAAAATTTTTGTCCAATTGGTACATCATGCAGAATTTGTAAACCCGTTTAGCTTTCAACGCAAACATAATTACAGCTTAATAGAGTTTATTAAATTCGCAATAATATTTTGTTTAATAAATTTATAATTAAAATATTATTTAAGAAAAATGATAGTTATAAATTATTTGCTAAGTTTTTATAATGCTTCTTAATAACTAGACAAACTATGAAAAATCAAAGAACTATTATTTGAGTATATTTTTTTACTTCAAACCATAAACGCAAATCAAAATATTTCACAAAAATATATGATTTATTTGTCTTAAAGAATTGTTAGATTAAAAAAATGTACAGTATACAAGACTATATTAGGAGCTGGAATTTGTTTCACTGACTTGACAACTGAAACCATTTTTCCCTTCAACACTGAATTAGGTAATAATATATGTCGTCACTCAACTTCCCAAAAGATTTTTTTTATAAACATTATATTTTTCTAGCATTTATAAGCAATAACAATAAAAGTTAATTACTTATTATCACCTCGAAATATTTATTATAAATTCAACGAAGTAATGTATTGTGAACACTACAGTGCTACATCTGCAATAGTATACTTGTGATAAATTCCATCATGTTTTCGATTTTTGAAATATTAGCTTTAACGTCACTATGCGCTAGTGTCGCTCAAAGTCGTAAGTTATATTTTTAATACCTTATGTTGACTTTTTTATAAGACTTGTAGCATTTTCACGTTAAGCATTTGAATTTGATTTAAGTGGATTAAGTCTAAGGAATTGAAGGATAAGGTGGAATGGTAACTCTCAATGTTTGCTCCCGTAATTTTACGCGTACCTTATCTGTGATGTACAAAGGTATTCTTCTATAATACTGTTCTGTAAGAAATTGAGTAGCATGTCTGTTACAAAACTATAGCGATTACCGTATCCCGGGAATCGAAACCTGGATCAATATGAGTCTTCATTATCGAAGCTACAAGTTTTATCCTTGCAAATTAGCACATACGAGTACGTGGGTAACACTGAAAATGTTTAGAACTGGCCAGTTATAAACATTGCTTATGAAAACTTTTTTTAAATTTCAATTTAAGAACTCTTTTGTAACCTAATGTAGTATATTGAATTTATTTATCATTTGTTTTTGTGAATTGGCGGCAAATCTAAAAGTCTTGTTACACGTGAAAATGAACGTAACGCGAGAAAATTTTCGGTGAATGATTTATTATGACTTTAATTGTGTGCTTACTCAACAACAAAGGTATAGGAGGAGTATAGGAGATTTTATATAAAACTAAATCAAGCTTGTGTTACAACAATTTTTTCGAAGAATATGGCGTCTATGTTTCAAATAGTTTTGTCTCATAATCACCGGTGTCCTTACACCAAGCCAAATATTTAAAAAATCATAATTATATATTTCATTTTTTACAGAATTCTTAGAGCCATGCCATCTTAACGACGATGTCTGTTTTGAGAAGTCCATTAACAAAGCCCTGCCTCAGGTCATGTCTGAAAACAAAGCCCTTGGGGCCGATTCATGTGATCCGTTGAAACTTGACCTAATTGAGGGCGACATGCCCGATATTAAATTTAAGTTTTTTTCCCCAATCACTACGGGATTCAAACAGTGTGTTGTCAAAAATGTGAAGTAAGTGAATTATTACTTATGTTCAAATGTATATATTACCGTTTAATACCTGCCGCTGAGTTTCATGATAGGACGTCAAGGCAGAATACAAAATGCCATCCGTATCATTCCACAACAGAGGGTTCTTAAGGCATTTTTTGCCACGCACGACTATTATGTGAAACCAGCTGCCCACTGAAGTATTTCCGAACCAATTCAACTTAGAGTCTTTTAAGAAAAGAGCGTACCAATTTATAAAAGGCTCGCAACGCACTTGCGAGCCTTCTGGCAATATGAGCAACCATTGGCCTCCTGCCCGTTTGGCTTCTGTTATATAAAAAAATAAATATAAATTACCAAAAAATAAATAAAACCAGTATATGTGTCAATTTTAGACAAGGTTAAAGGCGAAAATTATAAAACGCATACATTTATCTAACGATTTAAGCCATTTGATTTAATAAACATTATAATAATTTGTCTTAACTCTAGCTTAATATACATAAGCAATAAATATTTCAGAAACTTCTCTATGCTATATGCTATCGTGGCTTCATCAAATCAAAGTGTCATTTCTAAAATTGCTTTTTTTTAATGATTTTATTAATCCATTATTAGAATCTAGGGCATCTTAAGTAAGCATTACCATGGGTCAATACTTAATAGTTTCATATCTTTTTGATTATATCAAACACTTGTATCGCATGCATCTTCACAATGCTCGAACACATTTAATCAGATAAACTCCAGCCTATTTTATTCTTATTTCCAGAATGAACTTAGATGCACTTACAATACACGAGGTTCTAGACTGTCCGAATCTAGAAACAACTGGCAAATACGAAATCTCTGGACGTCTCATCACTTTACCAATTGAGGGAAGTGGAGACTTCAAAATCTCTGCCGGTGAATATTACAATATGAAAATTATCTATTAATAATATGAGTCAATATCACTAATAGTTTCTTTGATGAAAGTTTTACATAATATGAAAAGGTTCACGTATGTATTAGTTCTATGAAATGTCTAATGTGTTCAATGTTCATGTATGTTGTATGTACATAAGTAATTTTACTTTAATTTTAAAAAACTTTGAAATTTCACTTACCTTATTGTTTGATACCATCCAGGTAAACTCTTTTGTTTATTGTGGCGATAGTAATATTATTTAGCAGGGATTTTAAAGAATAATTAACATTTTTATGCAGGCAAGTGAAACTTTTAACTTATTAGTACCTGATATAACTTGCATTGCATGGGTGATTTGTATGATTAATTACATGAAATTGGTAATATATGAAGTAAGTAATGTAGATAGTACAAAATTCTCGCTTTCAAATTATTAAAAGTTATTTCAATACTAACAGTGGATTGTCACATTGCCAAGACCTATAAAATGTCAAATCGTGATTATAATTAACTGTAAAAGTCTGTCAAGATATTGATTTAACATTTCTATATATTCCCGAGCCTTCACGATACCTGAGAGATCCCATTATATCTGCAGGAGTCAAATTATTATTTTATATTAATTTTTATTGACAAGTTAACACGTTCGCTGCGTTACGAGATCTATCAGATCTCTTGCAGGACTTTTGTATTGTGCGTTGAACATAATCGTGTTTTTTCACTCCTTGCGGGAGGGTCTAACTTGTAGAGTTCTTTAAGGATGAACAGGACAAATATACATATTTGCTTCCTACTTAAAGCTGAATTCAAGGACATTAAAAAATAAATTAGAGATGGATTAGGTCCCTAACGCACAGTTTTGTAATTATTTTAATTCCTTGCGTTAGGAGATATGTCGGTACTCGTGAAATCGTACGCCTCGTAGACGCAAGAGAGGGAGAGTGGGCGGCGCGGGCGCTACGTGACTCGTTTTAGTGTTGTCCTAGCTTCGACATATGAGGTCGCGCGCATGTTTTGTAAATAACACTCGCGTATATACCTACGTGTTGATTAGTTTTGATAAACAATGAGTGCTTTTAGAAGAAAAAGGTGTAAAAAATCTATTTATTTTGGTGAGGTGTCTAACAAAAAATCAACGCCGGATACTGCTGCATCGTCCAGTAAAATAAAAGTTTTGGAAAATGTTCAAATTTACCCCCCATTGGGTAATACTGACAGTGATTCTGATTATGAAATATTTGACCTACCTAAAAAGAAACCGATAAACCTTTCTACGTTGGAGCACTCGCAGTTAAGTAATAAAAACATATATATCAGTCCATGTACTGGAAAACGATTTAATGTGCTTCAGAATACGATATCCAGTCAAAAATATAGAAACAATAATACCACATTATTGATGACGACTACTACACCGACGTATAGTCGGTGTAGTATTGCTACTGATCCTATGACACCTACTCGTAGATTTTATGGTACTGATTCTCGGAACCATGGTGGTTTATCTACTCCTACCTCGTGCAACCAAATGCTAACAGAAACATCGAACACAAATGCTAAAGCTTCTCCTGCCTCATTAAATTCTTTATGTACATCAAGCAGGTGCTCGTCTTTGAATAATATTTCAAATTCATGCTTATTGCCTTTAGAATTTAATGAGAGCAGTATGCAAAAATTGATTAAAACAACTATAAACGAAAGAAGAACCACAGGTAATACAAACAATATTCCAATTTCTTTTGAGTATACTTTTGAGGAAGATGCGCTCACCTTTGACGAAAAAACAGAAAGAAAAACGTCTAAATACAACTTGAACAATAATTTACAAAAAAAAATAGAAGAGAGAAACATTGAAAAGCAACAAGAAAATAACATAATAGGACAAGAAAAATACCAGAATAAACAAATTGGAAGTCTAGAAATACAGAATGAAAAAGAGGAAGAACTAGAACAGAACGTAGAAAACGACGAAATACAAGAAGACGACCCGGAGACGCAGACTGATGAAGCAACCAGTACTGATATAGATGAAATCGCTTCAAATGGAAGTGTTGATGATATAAGTGAAAATGTCTCATCCGATATAATAACTGAAGATGATGATAATATATCTGAAAATATATCAGAAAGTGAGGGTGGAGTGCTTGAGGATGAAAAAGAATGGATTGACATTCCCGACACTGACGTATTGAGCTTCGATGAGAGCATACTTGATAGCGTCATAAATGTACATATAAATAAAAAAATGCCCGTTGATATTTATAGTTTGTTTGTAACTGACGATATTATAGATAAAATAGTTGAAGAAACGAATAAATATGCAGATAAATATTTATTAGAAAAAGAAATTACTGTAAAATCACGCTCTAAAGCTTGGAAACCTACAGATGCAAATGAAATGCGTCAGTTTTTCAGTGTCATGCTTACGATGGGCTTGAATAAGGTTCCACATTTTCACGATTATTGGTCAAAGAAATCCATTTACAGAAATGAATATATATGCTCTCTCATGGGAAGAGACAGATTTATCTTAATTCTAAAGTTTTGGCATTTCAGCGATGAAAGAAATGATACTGGAGATAGACTCTACAAAATTAAACCAATACTTAATATGTTAAATAATAGTTTTAGAGATATTTTAACTCCAGGAAAATGTATCGTGATAGACGAATCAATGATTCCCTGGCGCGGGAGACTTATTTTTCGCCAATACATCAAAAATAAATCTCATAAATATGGAGTCAAACTATATAAACTTTGTACTCCTGAGGGGTACACTTTTAAAACCATAGTATATACAGGTAAAGAAGGAAATAGCAGAGAAGTGAACCATGGAAAAAATGTAGTTATGAAGCTCATAGAGGGTCTAGAAAATGAAGGACGAATTTTAGTAGCCGACAACTTTTATTCTTCTCTTGATTTAGTAGAGGAACTCTTAAAAAAGAAAACATTTTACTGTGGCACGCTAAGATCAAACCGAAGAGGACTGCCCAAGCAATTTATGTCAAAAAAATTGAAAAAAGGCGAAGTTGAAGGTAAAATGCTGCCTAGTGGTGTAAAAGTTATTAAATGGCACGATAAGCGCCAAGTTTCAATGATAACTTCCTGTAAAACACATAAAGCGTCTCTAGTAGATACAGGTAAGATACATAATAGAACTAATGAAATGATCAGAAAGCCACTGTGCATATTAACTTATAATGATAATAAAAAAGGCATAGACTACTCAGATCAAATGTCGGCATACTATACAACTTTACGACGAGGTCTAAAATGGTATCGGAAAGTGATGATGGAATTTTTATTTGGTACTGCACTCATAAACGCATGGATAATATACAATTCCAATACAGAGAAGAAAATGTCAAAAAAGAATTCACAGAATCAATAATCGAAACATTCGGAGGCCAAAAAATTTCCGGAACAGGTATGATTAACTTATTATTGCACAAAGTACTACTTTTAATGCAACTCGTGTGACAACAAACGTGTATATTAAACCTGCCGGTTTGTTGTGACATGACATTTAATGGAAAGCAGATATACACTAAGCCATCCCTCTAGCCTTAGAGGGCTCAAAATACTAGACACGCACTTGTGTACCTACTGCGTTTCCCTCACCCTTTTTGCAGAGTATCATGTTGTTATTCACCATTTGTTAGAGGAAATCATCACAATTTCATCTTAATTTGTTCTAAACATAACCGTTTAGTTTCATGGGTATGTGGATAAAACCGATGGCGAGCGTGGTGGTGTCAGAAGATTGCCGTGGTCAACATACCAAACAGTTCTTCGAACACAAACTGTTCTTATCTTACTCATAAAGGTAGCTAAAATCTCTCCAGAAACTTAGGTAATGGTTCCACACAGCGGGTAAGCTTAGCATCGTCAACTATCTGCAGCAGGCTTTGCATGAAACTGAGCATGTTATGCACTTTAATCATTCGAGTTTACTGTACAAAAATCTTCTTGGATACCATTCAAATAACATCAATTAATGAGGCTTTATTTAGAACTAACAACTGCCTGCCTTTTTTCGACTTTACGTGGTTTTTATTTTTTGTGTTTGAAACGCGTTAATGTACTTCTTCTGTTGCTTGCCTAAAAATGTTTGGTTGTTATTTTTCGAGATTGTCTTAGCTTAGTAGCATTTCTGGTGGGCTTTGCTACTTATCTCTAATGCTAGAGTGTTATTATTATGTAAGCATTATACTACACAGGGGGAGGTGGGGAGGGGGTTCACATGTCTCTGGTAAGTTCTTTTCTGGTAGCCTTAATTTCGGTTATTATAAAAAACGTTGCTATAGTAAACTTACAAGAGACCCGTGAAATCCAGCTTTAATTTCATACCACCGTATATTTTTTTAAAGCAACAACAGCCTAAAACAAAAATATACATAAGACACTCGAATAACTTTTCACTATTAGAAAAACTGATAAAATTAGATTCCATAGCATTTACTTCACTGACATAGTTGCCTGCTGTTTATTATATAAAGCATTTTATTACAGAACTCCCCAAAGGAAGATGTACTGATCATATTTTCCAACGTGGCGCCAAAAAAAGACGTTGTGTGGGTTGTTACGAAAAATTACGGCGCACATTAAACAGCATTGACGCTTCTAAAAAAACTAAACGAATTGTTACTATTTGCGCGCAATGCAAGCAATCAATGTGCTTACCATGTTTTAATGAAAAACACTTTGCATAATCAATAAAACTTTTTGAATCGATAACTGACATATTATTTTATTCCCATCACTACTTACTACACATATTGAACTATCTTCGGTTGCGGTACGAGATACAATCGATATCTAATTTTTTTTTGGTATTTGTAGTTTATTCAAATGTCATAACTACGTGCGAACCTAGCAAATTACAAAGCAATAGGCTATCTTTCACCCACAAAAACTTCAAATATATGTCATTGTTTTTTGGAAGATATAAATTATTTTCAAAACTGTATTTTTAGGAGACTGATTAGGTCTCAAACGCACCAGAGGATAGGCTTGTTACGAGATCTTTTAGGTCTCCAACGCACCAGCTGAAAGTTCTTATAAAATGATGTCGCAGTGAACGTGTTAATGTTAGTTCCGTAAACAGCCACCTTGGTTTGGCTTACACAAACATCTCAAAACATCGCCACAAAGTAGGACTCTTCAAAGTTCTGTCTAGTCGTATTTCATAATATTAAAATACTATTTTTCAGGGTCATACAATATCACCCTCGATTGTGATTTTGAAACTGTGGTTGGAGATGACAACAAAGCATATCTCTCCATCAAATCTTTCAAACAGAAAAACGAAGCAACATCTCCAATTTCTTTCGACTTCAAAAACCTTTTTAATGGACAAAAAGATCTGGGTATGAATTACATAACATTTTTCTTTCATTATTATATTAAAAGCTTACTGATACTTATACTCAAAAACGACTTAAGTTTCCAAATTATAATAATTGGATGAATTTTAAAGAATTATTCGATTTACTAACATAAAGTGATCTCGTTGCCTTTAATATATTAAACCTTTTTTACCTTTAGTTTTTACGATATATTCAAATAAAAAAAATTGTGCCAGAAAGTGAGTTGTACCTAGGCCAGCCATAAGTTATGTTACAAATGAAAATGTAGTAAAGAAGTAATGTACTACATATTTATTAAAATCTCAGCAAAAAATTTAAAAAATATTCTATTCGCAATGGCTTTTGGCCTTTAATCTATTGTGTCTGTGAAGTTAGCAGAGCACTTACCAGCAGAGCACAAAAAAATTAGAGTTCTGGCAGCACACTCAATAGTTCTATAGTTCCTGATAGTTTTTAGAAAGAGTTCTGGGCTTTTTAGTCCAGAAAATATTTTTTTTAAAAATCGTAAAATGCTCTGCCAGCTTCCCGAACACAGCAGAGCATTTCTTACCGATTTCGATAAATAAGGTCTCATTAAAACAATCATTTCAATTGTAACAGTTCCCTATCATTTAAATCCAAAAATAAAAAGGTTTAATTATCAAAAAAAAATTAAGAAGAGTGAGAGAAAACGAAATAGTGAGCATTTTTGAAAGATTTTACTAAATGAAAAAAAAACCATATTGTACAGACATGAGAACTCCGCGGTTTCTATTAATTTTTTTAGATGTCTAGGCATCACAATTAAATCATAGGCCAGAACTCTCCGCTTTCTCTCAGCAGAGCATACCTCTATGATGAAAATTGGCAATTTTTCACTTATTTTAGAAAAATTCAAAAAATTATTAAACTTTGGGTCTAGGCATGGGAACTCCGCGGTTTCTATTAGATCTTTTAGATGTCTAGGCATCACAATAAAATCCTAGGCCAGAACTCTCCGCTTTCTCTCAGCAGAGCATACCTCTATGATGAAAATTTGCAATTTTTTCACTTATTTTAGAAAAATTAAAAAAAAATATTAAATTTTGGGTCTAGACATGAGAACTCCGTGGTTTCTATTAGATCTTTTAGATGTCTAGGCATCACAATTAAATCCTAGGCCAGAACTCTCCGCTTTCTCTCAGCAGAGCATACCTCTTTGATGAAAATTGGCAATTTTTTCACTTATTTTAGAGAAATTAAAAAAAATTATTAAATTTTGGGTCTAGACATGGGAACTCCGCGGTTTCTATTAGATCTTTTAGATGTTTAGGCATCACAATTAAATCCCAGGCCAGAACTCTCCGCTTTTTTTAATTTTTCTAAAATAAGTGAAAAAATTGCTGCTGAGAGAAAGCAAAGAGTTCTTGCATAGGATTTAATTGTATTGCCTAGACATCTAAAATATCTAATAGAAACCGTGGAGTTCCCATGTCTAGACCCAAAAGTTAATTTTTTTATGAATATTTCAAAAATGGGTGAAAAAATTGCCAATTTTCATCATAGAGGTATGCTCTGCTGAGAGAAAGTGGAGAGTTCTGGCCTAGGATTTAATTGTGATGCCTAGACATCTAAAAGATCTTATAGAAACCGCGGAGTTCCCATGTCTAGACCCAAAATTTAATTTTTTTTTTATTTTTCTAAAATAAGTGAAAAAATTGCCAATTTTCATGATAGAGGTATGCTCTGCTGAAAGAAAGCGGAGAGTTCTGGCCTAGGATTTAATTGTGATGCCTAGACATCTAAAAGATCTAATAGAAACCGCGGAGATCCTATGTCTAAACCCAAAATTTATTTATTTTTTTAATTTTTCTAAAATAAGTGAAAAAATTGCCAAATTTCATCATAGAGGTATGCTCTGCTGAGAGAAAGCGGAGAGTTCTGGCCTAGGATTTAATTGTGATGCCTAGACATCTAAAAGATCTAATAGAAACCGCGGAGTTCCCATGTCTAGACCCAAAATTTAATATTTTTTTTAATTTTTCTAAAATAAGTGAAAAAATTGCCAAATTTCATCATAGAGGTATGCTCTGCTGAGAGAAAGCGGAGAGTTCTGGCCTAGGATTTAATTTTGTAATATTTTTTTAATTTTTCTAAAATAAGTGAAAAAATTGCCAATTTTCATCATAGAGGTATGCTCTGCTGAGAGAAAGCGGAGAGTTCTGGCCTAGGATTTAATTGTGATGCCTAGACATCTAAAAGATCTAATAGAAACCGCGGAGTTCCCATGTCTGTACAATATGGTTTTTTTTTTCATTTAGTAAAATCTTTCAAAAATGCTCATTATTTCGTTTTCTCTCACTCTTCTTTTTTTTTTTTTTGATAATTAAACCTTTTTATTTTTGGATTTAAATGATAGGGAACTGTTACAATTGAAATGATTGTTTTAATGAGAACTTATTTATCGAAATCGGTAAGAAATGCTCTGCTGTAATCGGGAAGCTGGAAGAGCATTTTACGATTTTAAAAAAAATTATTTTCTGGACTAAAAAGTCCAGATTTCTTTCTAAAAACTATCAGGAACTATAGTACTATTGATTGTGCTGCCAGAACTCTAATTTTTTTGTGCTCTGCTGGTAAGTGCTCTGCTAACTTCACAGACACTAATCTATTTGGCCAAGAACCTACGGATTTTCGTACTGTTTCCAAGGGAAAATCGCCACTGCTTGCTCTAAAGATTTTTTAAGAGACTCAATGTCGCCGTATTAGTTGACACTGACCATAATTTGAAGTCTATAGGGTTGAGGTCTGGGCTCAGCTAAGGCTCAGCAGTCTTCAGCTCTTATAAAGTGCAGAAGTTAGTTTCAAGCCAGGCTTGGGTATTTCGTGCCTTGTGACCAGGTGCAGAATCCTGATGAAAAGTCCACGGTATATTTTTAAAAAGTGTATTGCTGAGAGGTTTCACAACATGATATACGGCTGTAAATTGATATACTTTGGCTGAAGTTTTCACTCCTTTTTCACAAAAATGTAGATTTGTGACTCCTTGATATAACACGGCCCACCAAACCATCGCTGACGCAAGATTATGACGACGTTTTACCTTTCCGACCGCTTGAGCAGATTTTTTAGAACTGTGAGCGTACACTATATCATTTAGCTTATTGTAGTGTTCTTCAATCATGAATATTTTTCATCGGTAAAGAGGATTTTACTGTGCTTTTCACCTGCGATGCCAGATGCCTGTCACGATGACAGAAGGCGTTTTTATCGATCCATTCTGTTCAAATACATATAAAGATTGATTTAGGGCATGACATGTATATCGACTTTAAGCATCGAGCTTCAGGTCTTGTTTTATAATACGAGACAGATCCAGCGGGAATCTTCATTTCTCACGATAAGATTTTTTGCTTCCCAATGGATTTTCGACGAATTCTCGCTTTAACAGTAGTAACAGCCTTTGTAGTTCTAACAGCACGCCGCTCCGATCTTTTCTGGTCTTCGACAGACGAAGTGTTGTTGTATCTTTTGATAGTACGATATACGAACAAACGGCTGATACCAAGCTTTTGAAATGTCTGGAATATGGCCGACGGCTCCATACCCACTTTGTGCCAGGCGATCACTGCAATCCTATTTTCTTTAACATCCCATATCCATATCCCAATTTCCATATCGTAATATTTGATAATTGACACGAAAAAATATGTGAATTGGCGCAAAATCTAAAGAAGTTTTAAAAATAATATACTTGTTCCAAATTCAAAATAATTAAAAAGTTGAAAAAAATGCATTTTCATTTGTAACAGAACTTACGGCCAGACTGGTTATGTATGGCCTCTTCCTTTAATTAACATTATAATTTTTGAAAAGAGTTTTTGTAAAGTAATAAAATATTATGTTAGAGTGCATGGTAATGCTGGCTTTATGGCGTTGTATATATTAATTTACGATTTCAGCCGACGGTGCCCTCACTTTTGCTAACCAGAACTGGAAGCAGGTCTCCAGTCTCCTGCAGGAACCTTTATGGTACAACAACATAAAGAAAATACTGTTTAACGTCAACAAATACTTAATGACTGAACCCCTTGATCAAATTTTCATATCATCTTAGGTTGTTAAAGTAAAAATACTAAACATTTGTTACATATTATAGTATGTAACAAATGAATACACATACATTAGTAGCACATATAACTCATGTATCACTCTCGTGTTTTTTCTAGACAAAATATTCTTCGGCTATGAGTCGCTATAATAGTAGGTACCTAGGTTTTTTGAGGTTTGAGCATAAAGACCTCATAGGAAAAAGACCGTAGTTTTAAAGTTACTAATATTTTTACTTTAATAATAAACTATTATATATATCTATCATTGGTACTTATTTATTACACACCTATAATATATGATTATATTATAAGAAGTAGCATATCAACCGAATGTTTATAAATATAATAAGGGGGCATAATCTTTTCATGTACATTTAGTATGTAATACGGTGAAGGAAAACATCGTGAGGAAATGAGATTGCTGCAGTCGAATTTATAAAACAATAGAGTTGTGACATTTTGGAATAATCAGAATTCTCATGAACTAGAAAATAATGATGCGCACGAGCGCATCATTGTTAAACATATATACAGTCTTACAGATAAAAACCTGAACAGTTTTCTAGTAACTTATATAGTAGTCTAAATTCTTGTCTAGATACAAGGAATGTACAATCTAACTTTATGCCACAAACGGGGGAGCAAATCTCCAATAGTTAAGACGAAACTTGGAAATTCGTGCTTGATAGGAATATCTCTTCGACATGTAGAAAAATAAGGCATTGGTTTACTTAGGCTTTGGTTTTTCCTAATTGCAATGTTATTCGGTTCGGTAATATGTAATTTTACAAATTATACCAAATAAAATAGACCGCAAAATATATTTGTCTATTATGGTGAGATAATTTAATAAAACCAAATTATAATACCACCTTTTTACCTTGACTTTTGTTTAAGGGGGTCCAGGGTTTGATTCCCGGTAGAAACAGAATGCTGATTACCTATCAAAAATTCTACGTACAAAATTATCACCTACTGGAAATCAATGAAACGGACGCAGATACGTGTCTGTCTGTTGAGGAGATTTAAAAGTAATTATTAGCAATAGTATTTTACGATGGCATGGATCAATATTTAAACAATAGTCAGAAATCATATAATATAATAAATATTAGGAAATCATTAAAGATTATGAAATATTATATACTCGTAGTTCAACTTTATTACTTATTCACAATTCAATTATTCACAAATCACACTTAATTGTTTGTGAAAATCTATTCTATGGAATAAAATATTTTTGTCTACATACACAAGAATTAAATTTGAAATTTATTATCATTTATTTATTTTGCTTATTATATTGAATTTTTACTATCATTGTTTGTAGATACATATTATAACTTTATTTAATTCTTAGTAAAACGTATTTACGTATGTTTTAGATATAAGACCTTCTTTTTGCGTTTTGTTTCTTTAGGAAAATAACGACTTAAAGTATGGGGTCATGTTTTATAAGATTGAGGATCAGCGTTGGCCTAGTGGCTTCTATGCTTCCTTAACATTAATATATCGATTTATGTGATTGCGTATTAGTATGAGAATACTAAGTCTTGGCAGAACTACATATTTATATCAAGACATTTATTTTTCAGCTGACGCGGCTCGCAAATTCGCGACCGAGAATTTAAACAGCGCCGAACAGTTTTATTTGTTAGAAAATCAATGTAATTTAAAGTATTAAATGTCGATTCAATCAAGTCTTCAATGCGTATTTGGCGAAAGTTTTACGATTCCTGTAGCTTCCAACTTCCAAGCTTTAGGAGTCTTAAAGATATCCTGTATGTACAACGTATAATACGTCATCAAAGAATTTTTTTCCATTTGAAGGATATCTGTGCCAATGTGCATATTAACGTACAAGTACAAGGAAATATAAATAATTAAGAAACCCATTTCCCATACAAACAAATTCAGGTAAAATAAGTCAATAAATTAACATCCTTGCAAATTCATCCATACAAGACATCGGTGAAAAACGGCAAGGCCGCCTATTTGAGTGCTAGTTGGGTAAGATTAAAAGAATACCTACTTCCGGGACGTTAATATTATCGCTAAGTATACTTTTTGTTTATTAGAGTGCCTAACGCCAACCAACGTAAACAGTAAATTAAAAACTACTTTTATATGCATTTGTCGCGCTCCTAAACAAGACTGCTATGGTTACATTAATACAAACCACAGCGGTTTTTCTAATGTAACTTATTGTGATTGTATTATATTATATTATTTTATAAAATGAAGAAATTAAAAGAAAAAACTTATGTCGAAATCATAACAAAAAAAGATTAATAGGATACGATTGTTTACTCTTTAGATGTTCAGAAATGTCATATAAATATTTCAATTAATCTCAACTATACGTAATGTGTGCCATGTAGCCTATATTAAAGAATATTATATAAGTTAATTGTTAAGTTTTTATAATGCTTCTTAATAACTGGACAAACTATGAAAAGTCAAAGAACGCAAATCTAAATATTTCACAAAAATATATGATTAAGTTGTCCCAATGAATTGTTAGATTTAAAAATATACAGTATACAAGACTATATTAGGAGCTTGAATTTGTTTCACTGACTTGACAACCGAAACTATTTTTTCCCTTCAACACTGAATTAGGTAATACATAATGCGTCACTCAAGATTTTACTTATAAGCATTACATTTTTCTAGCATTTATAAGCAATAAAAATAAAAGTTAATTACTTTATCTAATTATCATCGCGAAAAATTTATTATAAATTCAACGGAGTACTGTATTGTGAACACTACAGTGCTACATCTGCATTAGTATACTTGTCATAAATTCCATTATGTTTTCGATTTTTGAAATATTTGATTTAACTACACTGTGCGCTAGTGTCGCTCAAAGTGTTAAGTTTTATTTTTAATACCTTATGTTGACTTTTTTATAAGACTTGGAGCATTTTCACGTTAAGCCTTTGAATTTGATTTTAGTGGATTAAGTCAAAGGAATTGAAGGATAAGGTGTGGAATGGTAACTTTAAATTTTTACGCGTACATAAAATCTGTGATTTATAAGGGTATTTTTTTATTAAACTGTTGTGTAAGAAATGGAGTAGCACGTCCATTACATAACTAAAGCGATTAGTGAATCCCGGTAGGCTTCACCAATAAACCCACGAGTTTCATCATTGGAAATTACCCATTCATCAAGCTATCTTACTCCAACATTTGAATTATCTTAAATTAGAATTATAATACAATAGTCCGAGTATAGGAGATTTTATATAAAACTAAATCATGCTTGTGTTACAATATTTTTTTCGTAGAATATGACGTATATTTAGTTTTGTCTAATTACCACCAGTGTCCTTACACCAAGACAAATATTTAAACAATCATAATTATATATTCCATTTTTTACAGAATTATTAGCGCCATGCCATCGTAACGACAATGTCTGTTTAAAGGAGTCCGTTAACAAAGCCCTGTCTCAGTTCTTCTCTGAAAACAAAACCCTTGGGGTCGAATCATCTGATCCCTTGAAACTTGACCTAATTGAGGGCGACCTGCCCGATATTAAATTTAAGTTTTTTTCCCCAATCACTACGGGATTCAAGCAGTGTCATATCAAAAATATGATGTAAGTGTTTTATTACTTATTTTCAAATGTATATATTAACGTTTCATGATAGGACGTCAAGGCAGAATGCAAAATGCCATCCGTATCACCTCGAAGTCTTTCATTCCAAAACGCTCTCTTGTGGCAGTGGCGGACTTAAAGCAGTTTTTGCCGCGTACCGTGTGGAACCAGCTGTCCACTGAAGTATTTCCGAACCAATTCGACTTAGGGTTCGTCACTTGCGAGCCTTCTGGCAATATGAGTGTCCATAGGCCTGCTGCCCGTTTACCCGATGTATTATAAAAAAAAATATAAATTACCAAAACATAAATAAAACAATTTCAATTTCTAAAATTGTTTCTTTTAATGATTTTATTATTCCATTATAATAATCTAGGGCATCTTTAGTAAGCATTACCATGGGTCAATACTTAATAGTTCCATATCTTTTTGAATATATCCAACACATGTAGCGCATGAATCTTTACAATGCTCGAACACATTTTAGCAGAAAAACTCCAGCCTATTTTAATCTTATTTCCAGAATGAACTTGGATGCACTTACGTTACATGAGGATTGACTGTCCGAATCTAGAAACAACTGGCAAATATGAAATCTCTGGACGTCTCATGACTTTACCAATTGAGGGTAATGGAGACTTGAAAATCTCTGCCGGTGAATATTACAATCGGAAAATACCTAAGAATAACATAATTCAATTTCACTTTCCTTTGATATAAGTTTTACATAATATGAAATGAAATGAAATTCTATGAAAAGTATGTGGTGTTCATGTAATAAGTGATATTATTTTAAATTTAAAAAAACTCTGAAAAATGTATATTGATGTCGAATTTCACTTACCTTTTTGTATGATACCCGCCAGGTACACAACTCTTTGGTCTATCGTTCTATAAAAAAAAAAGACTTTTTTTTTTTACTTGATACACTTTGGCTGCAGTTTTCACTCCTTTTTCACAAAAATGTCGTTTTGTGACTCCTTGATAAGAAATGGCCCACCAAACTATCACTGACACAGGATTATGACAACACTGTACCTTTCCGACCACTTGAGCAGATTCTTTAGAACTGTCAGCGTACATTTTATCATTTTGCTTATTGTGGTGTTCTTCAATCGTGAATATTTTTTTCATCGGTAAAGAGGATATTTCTGTGCTTTTCACTTGCGTATCGTGACAGAAGGCGTTTTGATCGATCCACTCTCTTTAATTGTAAAGATTGATTCAGGGTATGTCCTGTATATAGACGATAAATACTGAGCTGCAGTTCTTGTTTTGTAATACGAGACAGAGTCCTAGCGGGAATCTTTATTTCTCGCGATAAGATTTTTTGCTCCCTAATAGGGTTTCGACGAATTCTGGCTTTAACAGCAGTGACAGCCCTTGTAGTTCTAA